TCAACATATGATTAGATTAGCAAACCCTTTCATAGTGTTATGCATCAGACGAATTTTGAATCGCTCTGATGGGCCTTCTAAAACAATTCACTCGATCTAATAGCGAGTAACACCTATGCTGTTCAAACATCAGCAGAACGTGATGCTTAATGCGATATTCCGACCGATTATTAATCTGTCTAATCCAGTTAGTCAACTAACTGATAATACCACTTTTAATAGGCATCATTTTTATGTGAACGTTGACGTCATATCAACTGAATGCGACTGCAATGAGGGATGCGGCCATACAAATAATTACTCGTATCGCGCTTCCTTACACAACTCAACGTATTTTCAAAAAACATAAATTGTTGCTGTCGATCGTTTCACATTTTGAGAAATCGCCTTTACACGACAACTTGCATTCGGGTGTATCGCTGACAAACAGTGAATTTGTCCACATTAACGGAGAATCGAAAATCGCTGAGCGCAAATGATTTGATAGAAAAAATGGATGAAAATGGATTGTTGATGATAAATTCATCGTCTGCTGACGATTCCATGAAAGCACAATAAACGAATGAAGAAAACTGAATATTCTGCTTGATACAATCTGCACGAGTTTAATAGATGTGCGTTAGCTGCAACAAATACATTCACCTTTTAAATTCCTGTCATTTTTCTCACTGCACATCTGTCTTGCCGAATTCAGAGATTCTATTTGACTGCGCTAAAGTTCTCACCGCATGCAAGAAGTTGTTAGATACTGCATGCGTAGACCATGGACAATATGTTTAACAAGAAGAAAACTCTCAAATGATTATAATTTCCCAATTGATTCACTAAAAAAATACTGAAAAATCTTGGAATTTTTCTGAAAAAATACGAAAAGAAGAGAATGTTCAAATTTTTTTTGTTGAAGAATTCAAAAATTGCTCAGCGGCAGGTGATCATTGAAGAATTGCTCGGATAATAGGATATCGGCGCCGCGCCATGCCGCGCCATGTTGTCGTTGAGCAGTCTTAAAAATGCAGATAAGTTAGGCATCCACCATAAGATTGGCGCCTCATAACACTTTCGATTGGTCTGCAAGCTGTCTGACTGCTGAGGACACAACCACTAGAAATGCAATCGAATGAATAACTGCACAATTCAAACAACTCACATGTTATGTCAACGTCAGTATCAGTTTGGTGTAATGGTCAACACTACAGTTGGATAAAGATTGAACACTCAGTTGGGTAGCTGCTTGCTGAATTGGAGAGAAAAATTATCGAAGTTTCACATTTAATTGAAGGCAACTTTTGTGACTTCTCAGTGNTGCAAACATGCAAACATTTGAAAAAATTTTCAGTTTTGTATTAGCTGATCTCCGGCAATCAAATCACGCTGATTCATCCGATTACAGATAAAAAATTTTCCGCAAGGAGAGCGTGAAATTACAAGTCTCGTTAATTTCAATCCAGTCTATAGAAAATTGAAATTGTGCAAGCATTCCGAAACTGAAACATTTCTCTTGTGTGTACGGTTTCAAGTACAACGTACAACTGCTGAACGAATATACTCCAGGGCACATGAGACTTGCTCTGGCAAAAGTCTTTTAAGAGTAGAGAACTGAAGGGGTTTTCAGGTAACGAATCGAGGACACATTGTGAAAAATGATCGATTTTTATCCATGTGATACTTTTTTTGGACAACAACTTGCGTGCACAAATAAACGTTAATCGTAATCTATGATCACACATTGCAATATCTATCACCAGTCATCTGTATGATCGTAATTTATCACCTTTGAAATTGCTAATTGCTGAAAGTTTTATAAAGACAGACAATCTGCTATGTTGTTATATTTAGCTGTATGGAGAGAAGCATGTTGAGGAAAGAAAAATATGATACTTGTAATGTTGGTGATAAGTGAAAGGCGTAAGCTTGCGATTGCCGATCGAATAAATAGGTATCTATTTTCAGTAAGTGCCATCTAATTTCTGTAAGTGAAATGAATTTGAGGTATCGCCACCCATATTAAGCTTTAATATCAGCGTACATCGAGTTCAGCACATTTATCGGTAATCTATTTCATGCTCTTTTCATTCACATTTACCCACACTGATAAAATTATCTGTTATCATTTCGTCAGTAATACCATCGCACTTCTCCTCTTGTAAACTAATCAATTGCTATCACCATTTTTCGAATTTTTATTATTTTTATGATAATGAATAGTATTATTATTATTCTCATTATTGTTTTCAACGGTCATTATCGACTTATGTCACGGAACAGAGATACTTGAACAACAAATGTGCAAAGCTAAAACTGAAGTGTTCCTTCTTGCATTTTGGACTTCATAATGATTGCTTAAAATAGGTCGTCTTTTAAATAAGAGATGAAAATGCTTTCATATCAAATAAGCTTATCATTGGATGATGTCTCAATTCGTCATAAGAATTTTTAGTTTTTTACGTGACAGCAAACACTCGTCGCAACAATTTTTTGCTAGAATATTTTTGACGTAAGCAAAGTAACAATGAACAATTTAACACTCTTCCTTGATAGTTCATAGATTCTTTTTTTTGGTATTTGCATGATCACCGAATGCATCGAATGATGAATTGAATTGCCACTCGTCCACATCAATCTTCCCTTGTCAATATGTCTCGATTGAAAGTTTAGAATAATGCGAATAACTCAAATTGCCGATGTCGAGCTGTATGAAAATGATATGTTTCATGACTTGGCTAGTTACAATGAGATCAATTACCATTTATTTCAACTGTATGTGTGGCATTGTTGATTTGAAGTGGTCGACTCGGTGAACTTGCTCTCCAATGTTTAAGTAACGACTATTCTCTGATAAGCAGCTCTACAGGGCATATTCTAAGCCAAATNGGAGCTCTACAGGGCATATTCTAAGCCAAAGGACTCAATTCAATTATCGTTTTTTTTTTCACGAAGTGATAATGAATTGGGTATATTCAGTTACATTCAATATGGTGTTGACAATACGACAATATTCGAGCAACTTTCGCGAAATGCATTTTTATCGTTGCAATCCGAGACGTACATTGAACCGCCGTTGTTAACGCCAGAAGAGAAGCGTGCCCGGTGGTTGCAGAGGAAATTAAGGAAANTATGACACACATCAAAAATATGACACATATACACACATCAAATATGACTTTAGTTGTTGCTCGATACCACTTTGAGAAGTACATTCGAAAGATCATATTTCAGATTTGAAGTGTTAAAAAAATGTAAAATTTAAGGGAGGAAAATAGCATCTTCACCGAAAGATGCGTTAAAGAAGTCACAATTAGCTGTTAAAATTGGCGATGCAGAAACTGTACGGCGGCATCCAGAATGTGAAGGACAGTTATTTAAGCAGCGTATACGTATGGAGGGATGCTCCTCGAAGGTACACATCAATAAGCAGTTCATTCAGTGGTTTGAATACAAAACCTCTATGTCAACTTTGATACATTCAACAATTTTGATTAAAAAATTTCCACAAAAATCTAGGATTGATGTATTCCTTCAAAATTTTCAAATCCGCTAACAGTTTCGCTATATTTTAGGTCGTGATTAACAGATACTGTCACGGAACGTGCTCATCCTATTATATTCCAAGGTTACGACCACGAAAACTGAAGTTGAAAGCAATGTTTCAAAGCTGTTCAGCTTGCCGACCGTCAGAATATGACACTATCGAGGTTCGCTACGAATCTATTCTGTTTGTCCATAATTTCAATGATCGCTATGTGAACATCGTGATATTGGCTAAAGAGCCACCAGCTGAGACACACGGCTATTGTGAATGCATTGATATTTTCATCATCACTAAAACGCTTTGGCTCAGTTGAATGCTCAGAGTGATGATCGACGTAGTCGGCATTTACGCCTATTATCGGCACTCTGTCATTCCTTTTTGGGTGATACAACCGGGGTTTGTCCGAGCATGGTTCTGATAAAAATCTGACAATGTTCGTTGAGTGGAGTCGAAACCGAAATTATTGAAGATGAATTTCAATAAGTAATCAGTGTGTATGTATCAGGTGAAGTTGGACTGTCCAAAGAAAAATCCAGCACATTTGATACGTCGGGTTGTTAAAGTGAAAAAGTGTTCATGTATGGCGTTGAACGTGGATCAACCGGACGAAAACGATGAATTATTGGGTGATCGAAGTGGCAGTTTGGTTTGAGTGTTGGAGAACTTTAGTAATTTAGAAGGAGGATGATAAAGCCAAAGTCGATTAAGCACCATCAATAAAACTGATCACTGATTTGTTCACTCAGGTACATACAGGATTGCATGCATCAGATAGATCTGTATATTAACGCGTTTGTTTGGTTATTTGTTTACTGATTTGTTCGTTGGCATTCAACTGGATTGTTTGTGGCTGCATAGACAGACGATTTATCAAGTTTTGTTGATTGCTGTACACTTGTTGATCTTTCCAATTAGTCTTATCATATCCTTTCCATAATAACTGTCATCGTCATTTCGCTATTGCAAAAAACATTTTTTGTCGACAAGGAGATGTAATTGCAACGGAGGGAATTATTCGGAATGGTGCGAAGCGATTCGAAAGGATTCTTATTGCGGAGGATTCTTATTCGTGCTAAAAATGAACGAGCAGGCAGGCAGGCAGGCGAGCAAACAAACGAACAAATATGTAAATAAGTAAGTAAACACGCAAAAAACAATGCCAACTGAAAGCAGTTGGTGAATGGTGTGATTTTAAACGCGAAATGATGAGTGGATAAGGGATAAAGCGATCAGAAGAACGCAAAGATCGAGTGCAAGTTGAGGAAGATCAACGAAAGGAATAGGTGAGTTTTAGTTTGTTGATCAACCAAAGATGTCCAATCGCATGAGACGTTTGGTACGAACATTTGATTCGATCACATGAAGAGTGCATAGATGTGGAAGAAGTTGAATTGATGCCGTGAAATTTTCATGGAGCGAATCACTAGAGAATGCTTCAAAGTGGCACTTCTCATCCGAGATTACTTCTGAAGAAACGGAAGAAACTTGTCGTTCATTAGCCCAACTACTTATTAAGAATAGCCGAAAAAGTGGACAATTAGTTTCGTTGTCAGAAGCTTCTTATAATGAAAGAAAAGCTTTTCAAGTTTCACGGAAATTTGCTCAATTCATGAAATATTAAATGAGATCCAAATATCAAAATCATGTTTCACTTTCGAAGCCTGTTCCTGGTGCATCATTAAATTAGAGTAGATTATTCATTTGAGTGAATGCGGACATTAGGATCCTTATGCGGAACTGCCCAAGAAAATATTAGTTATGACAGAACAAACAACTTGAATAATTGTTGTACTGTATGAAAGATGTTGACAGTTGAACCGACTGGAAGATAGATCATTCGATTCAGTTACTGATATCCTAACTGTTGCCATCACCAATAGCGTTATCATCATCATTATCATCCTGTTGATATCAGCAATAATCACGACGACCATTTTCAGTGCATTTGTCCTATTGTTCAATTTGCTTTTGCTCGTATTCCTCATTGTTAACATCATATTGAACGATCTCATTTCATTCTCAATTTTCATTTCATTTTATTCGCTTTCTCTTTTCGTTCGTTATTCTGAATCGTTTTTGATATTGTTTTATTAGTGTTTTTGTTTATGTACGTACAATTCTTTTTTTGTTAGTTTTCCTCGATGATTTCAACATTCGAAAAGCTTTTCGAACAAAGAATGCGATACAAATGCTGCCACATTAACTTCAAGTTAATAGAATCCTCTCGCTGCAAAAGTGAATTTAGAGGATGTAGCACCACGTATTCGATGATAACATATTCACTACTTTTGACGTGTTCATTGTTTTGTTTAATTTATTGCCCTTTATCGTAAGTTCGAGTTGGAGTTCATTTTAAATTTGCTCTTTATTGTGCAGTTTTTGTATTTTCGTTCTTCTCTCTCCAGTTCATTCGATAGCGGGTTACAGTGGGTTGATGGGACGTGATGCGATGCATTCGAGATGAAACATGCAAATGAGTGATGAGAAAGGAAAGTTATTGGGAAAATTGAGTTAGAAAAGTTGACAATTTTCAATAATCAAAATCATTCAATGTTGTATGATATTGAAAAATCACGTTGATCAATCGTCGAGATCACATTAGAAAAAAGTACTGTTGTTTCGTTGAAAGCCTAAGACTGAATTCTTGAACGTCGATTCTTCATCAGTTGAGAAATTCAATGTGCTCACGGAAGTCAACAAAATTCTAAGCGTTCTTATGACCCTAGTGCACAGAATTATATTGTTAGAACACTTATTCTTTCTAGTTTCTGCAGCAGTAATTTGTTATTGCAAAAAAGTATGAATGTTACAATTCAGTAGTGTAATTAAGAGAATTCAAATCGCCCATATTGTCGAGGTTACCGCAGTCGACTATTATTGAGATTGTTCTTCAATAGAACTGACTAATGTTACTACTGTTGTTGCTGTTGTGATTACTGATATGATCATGCCAACCACTGCTTCTCTTTAAGTTTTCAGTGCAATCGTTATCACTTGTTTTTTTCTTTATTTTGTTTCGAAAATGTTGCGCGATTTTAATATTCATTTGTATTTTGATTTCATCTCGACGTACAAAAATTTCTGTTTGAATGCACAAGATTCATCGTTATATTGTACTGCAAGATTTATTCAGAATGTTTGCATGTCGCTTTGAATTTCATTCGTTTTGAATGTGACACCTATCAATGAGCTGATCGAATTTGATTCATTCATTTTTGAAATTTTGTTGTACCTATGTATTGGACTGTAAGCGATCGCTTTTATGCGGTAGTACAAAGAGAAAAAATATATGATGATATGATTGGATTGAAGCGCATAATTATCAAAAAAACTTCTCTACGAAGACATATTCTGCAGTCAGTTCAGCGCAAGTTCATCCGTATACATACACGACGACGCTCAAACGCAAAGTTCTACATCCAGCTTTATCCTAGCCTTTTGTTGATTTCAAAGATTCACAGTACTCGAAGTTGCCGAGTTATCCACAAAATGTTAAGCGATTTGGGAATGGGATAGTGCAGTGGAATAACTAATACAATATGCGATCTTATCGGTTCATCTATTCATCCAGCTAACAGCGTATGCGGATCGAATTGTACATATGACTTCTGAGGAAAATTAAGTGACGCACATCTGATATCACTCTGAAATAACACGAAGAGTCAGTCAATCAGTTATGTACATGTGTTGTTGATGGACATAACGATGCAATGATAAGCAAATGATGAGAATGAGGATTGTGATGACTGACTGCAAGATGAGAGGAGAATTGAGGTTGTGTTTGTGTTGATGACATTCGGTTGAAATGAACTAAAATCAGATGAGATCAGCTCAAATTGACTGACAACGAACAGCAGAATAACGATCTGAGTAGAGCAAAATGTGCCCAACGATCATCAACTTCAGGCTCCGTTCAGTCGGCCCAAGTGCGTTCCTAAGGCGCCAGTGATAAATCAACATCATATGAGATGACGACGTTAGGTGGATGAATTGATGATTGTTGGCCGAATGAACGAATGAACAATGAATGCACAAGTGGGTATTTGGGGATTAATATCCAAACTACTTGCACAGTTAAAAGACATCTAGAACCAATCGGTCAGTAATCAGTCCTATTTTGCAATGCAGATAGATCTCGTGCAGTTTTGCATGTGCATATCCCAAATCGAGTCAATAACCTCGAACAGTGACAAAATCAATGACCTAACAACACGAATATAAATTATCACATAATCGCGAAACAATCAGAATGACAGTTGTATGTGGCCCTATGCAAACGGATACCTGAAAACGCCGATAAAATCTGGCATAATGTGAGGCGATGTTTATTATCATAAATTAGTGTTGGTGTTGTTATTGCTGTTGTTGCTGTTAAAGATGGCGCCTTCATCCACTATCATTATCACTTTAATGTGGGGTGATTTCATTTGAGATGAACAATCGATCATGGTGCCATTCCAACGGTTATTGGCCTATCAAACGGCAGTGTGATATTTGCAATGAATCACATCCGAAACATTCGTAGATATGTTCTGCGAATTGCTGCTGATCACTGCTCAGCATAGATGAATGATGTTTTTGCTGTTTGCGATTTCATAAGAAGTGTACCGAGCAAAAGCAATTAACATGATTTTCTTTGAACGAAGGAACCAGTGATGTCTTATGATCATATCGCAATGAATTTACCGGATGAAATCTAGACAGTTCAAAGGTTTTGCTACAACATTTCATAAAATAACTCATTTCATGAAGACTAAAGATGAATGAACACTTTATAAAATGATGAATAAAAGTAAGAGAATTACAATGTATAAATTAACATAAAATCAAAGATTACCAAAACTTTAACAATACGATCTGTCAAATTGAACAATTAAGCAGAACATTCAAACCGGTAAGGGAAGAATATAAGTGATAGCAAAGGTTCATGAGGCAAATAATCTTTGAGTGCATAGATGAACATTTCAAAAATGACTATTTGAAATGAGCGTTAATGAGGCAAAGATGCGCAAACTTGAGAAGACGGTAGCGTTGAAGGTGGTACCCGAGATATTATTAATTAAATGCCTATATCTCCTCAAGAAGGTCAAACTGCTCAGTAAAATTTTTAATATTATAAATCTAGAGAGTCTGCTGGATCGAACGGTGAAAAGAAATTCGCATGTTCCCGG